TTTTAAGATATATTATTTCGACTGCTTTGCCCGATTAAGTCGTCACTCTTTTATTCCTTGCTTTAGACTGACTCTGAAGATTTTTCTTCATCATGACTAAAGTCATAAAGTAAAATTTAGACTTTGGATTAACCAATCGAATTATTACTTCTAAGATTCTAATATTTTCTAGAAGCTTTCTTATCTCCATCCTATAGGATTGCAGCTTTTATTTTCTAAAGCGTCTCGTAAGCATTTTTAGCTTTGGCGTCAATAACCAAATGGCGAGATTAATGTTCAATAGTATTTGGACATTTTATTGATTAAGCATTTTATTTGAAATTAATGTCTTTTGTTACAGTTTCAAAAGTAAACATCTTGCAATATTGCTGCCATAAGAACTATAGACTTTAAGCCTGAGTGTAATTGAATACATAAACTCGCGTATAAGTCAAGCCTAAAAGACGAAAGTAAATGAAGCACTCGATAGTGTTTGCGTTACAAGGTACATTGAAGAATAAACCCACATAGGGTTCTGAGATATTTTTAATGCACAATATTTAGATATGCATTCTAAAACTACAAAATTTATAAATGATAGTGCAGTACCGTTATTTAATTTAGGGATTTAACTCCCCCCCCCCTATCTAAGCTGAATAGACCCGATTCAAAGAAGTAGAAATTTGCTGATTCAATGTATTGAAGAGAATCTTTTGATTCTCATTAAAATTTGCAGTCTGTTTTTGTTTTTAAATTTTTATAATATTTATATAATTTTTAATAATACGCATATATAATATATATATATATATATATATATAATAAAAATATATATATAAAATATATATAAATATATATATACACATATATAATTAATTGTTGACAACTTTGCATGTCTGTCTATTTTATTTTGTGTTTTTTTTTAAAGTTAATATGTATAACTTTATATTCGAATTCTATGTATTTCGATATTTAAACTGATTTTATATTTTTTTTTTTTCGTAGTTTCATTTTATAGATTCTTAATTAAGATGATTGGTTATTAATAACCGTAAAATTTTTTTTTAAAATCTTGATGCTTTACAATATTATTTCCAAAGATCAATATAGCTCCATCTTTAATGATTTTTAATACTTTTTTCGCTCAAGCTAAGGAACTGGCAAAAAACAAGAACTTTGTGATAAGTTAAAAAAAATGTTTATATAGAAATCGTAAAACTAGTTTAAAGTAGTGTTGTGAACAGTTTTGTTCTAAATAGTTTAACTTTTAATTTTTTACTTATCCGAAAGTGAAAGTTGGTAATGTAAAAATTTTTTACAAAATGAAGCATAGTAATATTTACTAAAAACTGTTAATAAAAACGAAAGTTTATTAAAAACAAAAGTTTATTAAAATAAATACACAAAAGTGTGTTACAAAATAAAATGTTAATAAATTCTTCCCCTTATTAGGATGAAGCGTCCCGATTCATTGAAGTTCTGTTCAAGCCAACAAACAACACTGGTCACAGTTTCTATGCATAACAATAAAATGAATTGTTTTTATTTTTATGTTTTATAATATGTAATTAATTATTTAATTTATTTAATTAATTTAATATAATATTTAATATGTAAAACAGTATTTTTTTTGGATACAAATTAGTAAATAATGTTTTAGTTGCTTAACGAAATTAAAATATTTTTAAAATTATTATTTATATAAAAATCATTTTTTTACATAACTTATTCATATTGATATATTAACTTGTTGTATAAAAAAATTATTTTAAGTATTTCATTTTGATTTGTTTATTTTTAATGGGTTTATTTATACATTTGTTACGCCAGTATTTTTAGCAAATATTATAAAGTGTATTTGATTATTTTTGAGTTTTTTGCATTAATTTAAAATTGTGCTTAAATTTACAAATACATTTAAGGTCGTGTGCGAGTTCGAATAAATTGAGGTAAAGTAAATTGAAATTTTCTGAGGATTTTTTGTACTGCACTTATGTAAATATTTATTTATTGCACTTATTTATTATTTTTGGTCAAAAATTTTCAAATTTATTTATTTATTTATTAAACATTTTATAAAATTTTCACAATGGTAATACCTAATTTACCTAATTTTTATCTATTTCACCCTACCCGAAGTTTTGGTAAATATCAATATCGCTGCCATACCACGACTATTTCCCTCAATTTATCATTAATTTACTCGAACTTGCAATACGGCCTTATGTAAAATATACATTTAAAATAGAATAGAAATAGAATAGTTACTTAAGTCCAATTTATTTTTATTTATCTTGCTTGTATGAAATAATTCAATATTATTTATTATTAGTAAACGTAATATTCTTCATTACCAATTTTACACATTTGTATTGGTATATTTATAAATATGTATATATATTTTTGAATCATAATTATAAAATTAATTATTTTATACTTATTAAATGATTATTTACTCGTGATTGTTTTGTTTTGAATATAAAAGATTATTTAAATTTTTTTTGTTTTTTTTTTTCTTGTTATTTTAAAGTCATAGATGTCAAGTCGTCTAGTAAGTATGTAGGTAGTTTAGCTTAGTTTAGTTATTATTTTAACTTTCAATTAATTAACATTTTGATTAATGTTATTATGAGAGGAAATATCCTTATATATTAAATAGCAAATATTCAATACTGGAGATATTTGATCTATAATGCATGTACATATTTATTGTTTGTTATATTATATCTTTGGAGTTTCTAATTCTAAATGTGTCAGTGTAGAAGCGAAGTTAGATTTGGAATAGAATTGTAGACAAGGGTATTACTTGATCTAAACAGGTGTATCAGACTTAATACTGATTTATACGCAGGTGTCTTCAATAATTGATTTAGTTATTTCAGCAAGAAAATGATTTTTCTCTGATTTTACGTTGAAAGGTTTTTATAATTACTTGTACGTAAGACATAATAAGTCTGTTCCACGAGCTACTCGTAATAACTTTAAGTAACACTGTGTACACACAAGTGCGTTCCACCAACAAATTTTCGTATATTTTCGTGTAAATTTTAATTGTGTTTTACTTGAGATTTACTACGAGTAGCTTGTGGAACAGACCTAATAATATCAATATGGGTAAGTAAGACATAAAAATATCAATAAGGGAATTAAGATTTTCTTTATTTAATATATTGCCGGTATATTCTTTAAATATAAAACTTAATTTTTATTCGAGATCTATGGTCTTATTTTCGTTCCCCCTTCAATATCAGAACACTTGTTTTTGCTTATGAAAACTAATAGTTTATAATTTTTATAATGTTTATATACCACACTAAGCTTTATATTTTATATGTCCAAATAAAATGCATAACATATAAGAATTGGTTTTTTATTAGTATTCGTATTAAATAAATAAATAATAAATTTTATATTAAAATTAGCAGCAATACCGAAATAGTCGAAGTAATCGCCGACCTGGTCTCAAGCAGCATGAATGCAAAAATGGGAACTACAAAAAAATTGAATATAGAAATTACGAATAGTGATTCACAAGATCCCAATGTAAATCCGTTACTTAATCGTTATCATGAAGATATTAAGGTTTCCAATAAAAATGATTTATCAACGGAACCAAAACCATCTGTGGGTGGAGAAAAACTTGTAAATAAATTATTACCAAAGCATAATAAACAAATAAATATTTCGGATAAAGTTGATGTGCCAAAAGATTCAATACCTATTGTAGAGGAACCTAAAGTTGTGAACAAATTATTGCCAAATTATGTTGACCAAGAAAATATTCCGGACAGTGTTGACCTACCAACAGAATCAAAAACTACTGTAGATAATGTAGAATTTATTCCTCAAACAAATACTATAAGTTCTACCGTACCTTCGGAAAGAGTTGAACTTAAGATTATATCAAAAATTATAGTGCCACAAAGTGATCAAATTAATTATTGATTTATCTGTAATTTAAGTACAAAATACAATTTTGTAGCTTATATTATGCATTTCTAATAGATTAAATAAACAATATTTAATGAGAGTAAAAAAATATTTTTATAAAATTTTTATTTATAGATGTAAATAAAATATGTAACTAAATATTATTTTGTTAAAAAACAAAAAACACGAATAAATATTTTTGAATTTAAGCATTTTCACTTTAAAAATTCCATTGAATCCTCCATTATTTATTGACAATGTTCCATAAGAAGTACTACAATTATGATTATTACAAATTAAAAAATAGAAAAATTATAAATAAGTTATATCAATTTTGATATATGGGCATTATTAGTATTATCTTAAATAATTTTTACCTATTGGTTTTATTTTTTTAGTAGATATTTGTTTTACAAATTTTAGTATTTATATCTACAATTGTATTATACGTAATATATAGTACATCATATGTATTATATTGTATTCTACCTAATTATCTGTGTTGTTTTAAATCGGAGCCTACTTTTAATTTTGATTTATCTACTTACAAACTACGAATAGTAAGTTTCCAAGTGAAAAAATGAAAAGTGATTTCTAAAAAAAAACTATTGTATACATATGATTACACCAATGTACACTTCCAAAGTCCATTGATGATGGATATTTGTCAATATCCGAAACAATTGTAAGGTAAGCTATTATATTTAATATAATATTTTATAATAATTGATTTACATATAAAGGTTTTCATTTACAAGGAACCACTTAAAATAAACCTGTGGAGTTTGGTTTACGCGAAAAATATTACATATAATTTAAAAAGATATAGTAAACTCGTAGATTCCTTAGACATTTAATAAAATCAAAACTAATAATCTCTCTTTTGTTTTATTAGGATATATTAAGATTATTTAAATTATATATATCTTCAACTTATATATAGTGATTTTATTAATTTTCATTTAACAAATTTTGAGTAATATAAGATATAAAAATATATAACTATTCCTACACAATGTTCAAAATAGATTATTATTTATGTTCTGGAACTATTGGCGTTAATTATATATGAATTTCAAACAAAATTATTTAAACAAATTTTTTTTATTAAATATAATCAAAATTAAAATGGAAATTCTGGATGATTTGTAATACCCTTAAAGAAAGAGAAATCACAAACTCTTATATTTTCATCCAACTTAGATAATGTTTGTATTTCCTCAGCAGTTAATTTAAAATCAAAAATATTTAAATTTTGTCGTAAACGTACAGGATTTGTACTTTTTGGAATAGCTGCTAAGCCGTTATCGAGTACCCAACGTAACAAAATTTGTGCTGTAGTTCTACTATGTGCCTTGGCTATAGCGAGAACTTCAGGAACATTCATCAAATCTGGAATTTCTCGTTCTACACCAGCTTTTTTATTCAATGCTGCGATGCCTTTGGAACCAAGTGGTGCATATGCAGTGACAACTATATTTTCCTCCTTACAGTAATTAATCAAATCACGTTGTTGTAAGTATATATGATGTTCAATCTTAAATCATATTAATATATAGAAACATATTTTATATATTTTTTTTTGATAATATTAACTCACTTGTAAATTAACGGGACGTATTCTACAGCTTGGTAACAATTTTTGAATTTGTTGTTTATTAAAATTTGAAAGTCCAATGGATTTTGTGTAACCATTATCAATCATTTCTTCCATTTTCTAAATACATAAATTTTTAAATGTTAATAAAAAATACATATATATATTATATACCTTCCAAACGGCAACATGATTTGTACTTGAATCAATAACCACATCACCATTTTCATCACGTTTGATGTCTCCATCGCCAAAATACAAAGTAAATGGTGTATGGATCAAATATAAGTCTACATAATCCAACTGTAAATCAGCTAACGATTGCTTAATCGTTTCCTCAACTTCTTCAGGTCTGTTAGCTGTAAAATACGTTTTTAATTAATTATATTTTTAAGTGAGTTGAAGTAATAATTATTACCAATTGGTGGCAATTTTGTAACAATGAATAATTCTTCACGGCGTACTTTCCCTGAATCTAACCACTTCTTGAGTACGCGACCTATGGCTTTTTCATTTAAATAAACTGGTGCGGTATCAATGTGACGATATCCTTCATCTAATGCTAAATCTATGGCACGTTCTATTTCCTCCTCTGTAGCCTGAGAATTTATAATTTTGTAATTTATTGAGAACTGGGTTAATTTTAATAACAAATAATATAAAATTTTATAAGGATTTCATAAAAAATCATAATTTTTTCTAGTAAATTGTTAATACTATAATTCTAATGAAACAATTTATATTTGTTTTTATTTGTATTTTGTTTGAATATAAATTAATGTACGACTAAGAATTATTAACAAAAAATAGCTTTAATGATAATAAATAGCTTTAATGAATACTAATAATAGTATTCATTATTATAATAGCTTATACCCAAAAGCTTATTTTAGTGTTAATAATGGTCCCTTGTGATGTTAAGTATACCACTATCTAAAAGTCAGTACTAAAAAATCACTTTTAAAGCAGAAATCGGAAGCATCTAGCACGATTTATAAATTTATGGCTAGATATGGAGCTAGATATGAATATAAGCAACTCAATTAGTAATGAAGAAAATTTCAGACTTATCACATAGCATACTGCCATCAATATGCGACTTAAAATCAATGATTAATTTTAATTATAGATCATCACCAAGTCTCACATTCATGAAGATTAATTTTATTTAACTCAGTCTCGGTGACCTTTCATTTTTGTCGCATTCGGTAACATTGTCCATTGTGAAAATAATCATTTTGTGTTTTAATAGAACTTAATATATTTCTCAAAGAGAGCTCAAGGAATAAAGTTAAGAGGCAACATATTTTCGGCTCAGCCATTGGATAAAATATATTAAAAAATTTTTAAGTTGTTTATTAATATTTATAACTGATTTGTAAGTATATATAATTTATATGTATGTAATTTAGAATTAATTTAGACTATTATTTCAATACATTATATACACAATTTTATTAATATTTTTTTTAATTAAAGAAATCTTTTTTAAATTATGTGGCAACAATGTTATTTGTGTAGTTCTCCCGTTTTTAGAAAAGTGAGATTATTGTAAGCATCGTGACAAAAACAGGAACATTAATGGATCACGAAACAAATACACAGTGTGGGAATGGATGGGTTGTACTTGAGTACATGCCGGATCTGCGTCGTTGAACCATTTATCATTTCAAATAAATGACTATCACATATCCCAACAAGTGATTCAAAAAAAAAAACCAGAAAATTACTAATTCATTCATATCCCTATGAACGGTGGGACTTTTACAGTAGTGCCGTTCGCACATTTCATTCATTGCATACATTCCTTGTATGAAATTTGGATTTAAAATGTATTCGACGATCTTTATGTACATATGGATATACCGAAACCTATTGCAATCGAGCTAACATCAGTGAACTCGAATATACACGTGAACTAACAGCCCTACTCATAGATGCAATATCTTTTTCGAGACCAAGATTGCACTGCAACCATTTTCTCAGTGGGTCCTCACCTATTATTTCCTAGAAAGAACGACCTTTTACACGCGCAGCATGAACTTTCCTATTTTAATTGAGATTAATATATTGATTGTCATGTGCTAAACAGTTATTTGTTACGCATAAATGTGTCTATTTCCCAAGTGTGCCCTAATGGTTGCTCTAGCGACCATAATGTTGCCAATGTTTCCTTGTCTCTATGCACACACTAACTTTAGTCCAATCGATCTTTGGACCCGTCCCTTTGTCTAGTGTTTTCCAAATTGATACTGATTGGCTTCAATGTAAATCCCACTCATCCCCAAACCATTTTTGCTTCTAAACATTCCCTTCCATTCTCACACAACCACTACCTTCTCACATCCTAACTCCACTAAAACCATCTCTTAGGAGCGAATGGTGAAACTTCAGTGTGGAAACTTCATTCTAGTAATTAGGGGAAAAAGCTGAGAACAAGATGCTTAATACTTAAAAGTCTAGGTTTAGCTCAGTCAGGAGACATATATGTATGCATACGTCTTTATAGTTCCTTTTATGTTATCTGCTTAATAGATCTCTTAGGATCACAACAATAACAACAACAACACAGATAGTGGTTTCTTCGTGCAAAATCAAGAATTTGGTGTTCTTCCTTGCAATCCCCTTGCCATCGACAACATAAACATCTTTACAAACTTAATATACAACATTTAGACTGTGTGACTATGGATGATAGAAAACTATGTCATATGAGTTTTATTTTCCTTGCTGGTAACTGTAAATAGATACATATTTATTCTCACGACTCATAAACATATTAAATGTGTAATTCTTAGAAATTAATAGTAATTATATTTTTAATATTTGATTTATAGTTTCAGATATTGCATTGTTTATATGATAAAGTAACGATTTTTATAGTTTTAATATATCTTGATATTTCTAAAAATAACTTTAAATAGTTGGCAACGGAGCAATCCGATTGCTTAAGTCAAGTCTGTAAAGTTAGCAATTATCTGAATAAACAATCTGAAATTATACTAAGGTATCCACAATAAAAGCAATAAACTTTTACGCTTTACATAGATTATATACATATCAACATACATACATTCATTCATACATACTATACATACTTGAGAACAATAAATAAAATGTGTGTTAATACTAAATAAGTAACAGAGTCTGGTGTATACTTTCTTATCTTAAAAGTTAAAACAGACTTAAAATGCTGAACTACATATATACATACACACATAAATAAGTGATGAAATGAACAAATAATGGAAATGAAAGTGTGTGGTGTTTTAAACACTGGAGAAAGTACCACAAGAGTTTCCAACAACCCGCAGACTGCAGAGTCAAAGGAAATTTGCTTGCAAAATTCAAGATAAATTTGAAGCATTCAAACGTTAACGGGCGCGGCAAAGAAATACTGAATATTCTGGTTTTTAAAAATTGAATGCTTAATGCAAATTTTTTTTCTTAGCAATTATTTTTTAATTAATTATTAATTAATAGATATTCAAATACAATACATACATACAAAATAAATACAATTATAAACAATAATAAATATAAATATATTTTTATACTTTACCTGCCAAGTGCCAAGACCTAAAACCGGCATTTTCTGACCATTGTTGAAAGTTAAATATTGTTCGGATTCCATTATTAAGCGTTAATTTATTTTTTATTTAATAAAAAAAGAATTATTTTACACTTTAAACTGAAGTAATATAAGGCACTACCAAACGACCAACTATTCGAATCAGCGACCAAAATAAAACTGATCACGCTTCATGGTGTACTAACAGATTGCCATACATTTCCAAAAAAGTAAAAAATATTTAAGTTCAGCGTTGTCGACATAAGGAAAGGCGCTGCGCTGCATATACATTATGAAAGAATATGTATACTAATAAGCATATAAACATAACTATTACAAATAACTTAATATGTATAACATAGTATTTTAGAGATAAAATTTCAAGTTTATGCTATTAAATAAGATTTTAATTGGATCAATGACATCCAATTAGAGAAGTAGAAACTGACAAGACTTGTACCTTATATCCTCAAGCAGATCTGTAGAAAGTTGAATTAATTAAAGCATATAAAAGAAAAGATAATGGCAAATTGTTTAATCGTATAGCCTATTCATTCATCTTGGAATAAAAAAATTCGATATCAGATTATACTTACAAACTAAATTTTTTAGTTATAAATATAGTTAAAAATATATTTATATTATTTATGCATTATGTATCATATGATATATGTATCATATGATATACTTATATGTACATAAATTCTTATGTATACATATATGAATATGATTCGTAAACTACCTAATATAGAGTGGCAAGCATGTTTTCCATAATCCATTTTATTCTTTTATTTCTGAGATATGCAATAGAGCTGAGTTAAGGAGAGAGAAACTATTTTTATTTATTTAATACCATATTTTCTCCTCAAACAAAAAGACAATGCATATTATTTCATATTAACCGTAAACTAAATGTATTTGCATATAGCATAATATCTATGTATAATATCTATTCTTACCCGAAAACATAGAATTTTACGAGTATGTCTATGTTTTTTGTTAGTATTAAAGCGATAATATTGTGACGTAAATTTAATTTAAGACAAAAAATATGATTGATTGATGATGACTTTTAAAAAATATGATTTTTGAAATTGATGTTACTTTGTAAAAAATTGTAAACTCTATTTTCTTATTATTATGTAGATTAATAAATATAAGATTATATAACATAGAAAAGTATATAAAGGAGAAATAGTTTACAATGGTTTAAAACCTTTTAAAATTTTTGAGCTAACCATATATGCATTTTACTACATTGACTGTTATTACATATGATATTGCATTGGGCGAAAAGTATGCAGCATTTTACTTTCCACTGAGATCTGACTGCAATATCGATCTTATATATAACCTTATATATATGTTTCGAACCTTATATATAATTATTAAGAAATTTTTTGTAGAAATCATGTCCAGAATTTTACAAAAAGATATTTTATTAGCTATATGTACATCATTAATATATCTTTTTATACCCATGTATGAATGATACAGTCAAATGAAACGAATTACTACAAAGTTAAAAACAAGATAATAAGTCGTAGGCAATTCTACTATTTAAAGCGAATGGACAACATCGTATATATTTTCAATTCGATACAGTTTAAGTTAATACTTTATTACTTTAAATTACTTTAATAATACTTTAATATTAATTAATAATAATTAATTTTTATCAGATATAATTTTTCATAAATGATTGTCACACAATAAACAGGACCGCCAAAAAAAAAAATTAAAATTATACCTTTTCGTTATCTTTTGTTAAAGTTATACTATATTCAGATAGCCAAATTTCCTTAATTTCATAAAAATGAAATTAAGTTAATTTCGAAAGTGTTCATACTGCCCCAAATTAAGGAAATCATATGTTTTTTGTTTACATTTCGAATGTTAAAAATTACATGCTCCAAATACCATTTGTATCTGTGAAATTTGAAAAGTTGATTATAATAACTATAAAGGATGGCATTCAGTAGTTTTATTAGCTTCAGTGTATTTCAGGTATGTGAATTATATTTTCATTATATTATAAATTAATACCAGTTACAATTCTTTCTCTATACTCAAATTTAAAAATTTGCAATACTTCCAATATATGGATATATATATGGATTTTATTAAAGTCAACTGTCATTGACATTTATTTTGAAAAAAATGTGCATTTTTCGTTATCTCAACTTTATGTTTTGCTTAAAATTTTTCTTACGCATAGTTGCATTTGAAATGTCCCTTAATTTCATCCTTTGTTTCAACGAAATTAAGGCCATTTTTCTTAATTTCGTTCTAACCTCAAAACTAAATTTTGTATGGAAAAAACAAATAAATTTCGCTGAAACGAAGATGAAATTAAGATTTTTATGAAATTAAGGTATGCCTAAACATAGTATTTGTATTTCAATTTCCGATAACAAAGTATCTGCATTCATGATCAGTTTAGCAAAATGAACTATGGTAATCCAATTATATCTGTCTGCCTTTTTCTGTTCGAGTATCAAGCATTTTTTAGTTTTTTGAAATAAACTACAACTTTATAGAACTATACATCTTATTATACATAATATATATTACATCAAATATAAGGATTTGAATTGTTTGACTATACTCGATAGTTTCCATATGAATATTCCGAAAAAAGTTTTGTTTATTGCTTATACAAAATTTGAGTTCGAATTAAGTCTGCGAACGATAAATGTAAAATAAATCTACCAAATTTTATTAAAATAAATTAAAACTTTCATATAGTTAGCAAACAATTAATAGAAAACGCATAAGTTCTAACTTAAATCCACTTTTAGCATTTAAATTTAGTTTAAAGATTTTACTTTTACACATTTCTTCGTATCATTGTTTTCCAGTTTATTTCCTTCTCTAATAGAGAGGCTCAATAGTTCAGAGATGAACTAGAGCTTAATAATAAGTTGCTGCAATGACTTCTAAAAACTGTTTCTTATGTCAGATTAATTTTGTTTAAATTTAACTTCACAACAGTCTCAACTAATATCAAATAAAGAGGTAGTGTATCTATGTAGCAATTAATATATTGTTTTTTTTATTACTTACAGTGATTCTCCAGACGTTTTAAAATATTTATATATATATACTTTTGACTTTAAAAACTGTTTTTTTTACAAGAGTTAACCAAAAGTTTTTCATAATTTAATTTTGTCTAATTTTAATTTAACAGCAGTCTCAATCATTAAATTCAATGTCAAATATTGAGATTGCATATTTTCTATCAACCAAAAAACATGTTTATATAATTCCCTTTAATACTATCAATGATCTTCTGAAGGTTTCTGTATATTGATATATGTTAAAAAAACAGTTTTGTTTTAACCATAAGATATTTTCTGCTACGAATATCGTTTTCGCTTGTTTTATATATATATATATATATATATAACCAGAAGTTTTATTAAATAAAATAACAACCATAATTATGAGTAAGTTTTATAGTTTTAATTTCTACTTAATTAAAGATATCGATATAAATATAAATAAAAATATATATATGGTCATAAATTTGTTAAATTAAAGAACAACTATAATTATGAGTAAATTTTATAATTTTAATTTCTATTAAATTAAAAATGTCAATATAAATATAAATGAAAATATATATATAGTCAAAAATTTTATTAAATAAAATAACAACCATTGTTATTAATAAATTTTATAGTTTTAATTTCTACTTAATTAAAAATACATACATTAAAATATTTTAAACTATATTTAATACTAAATATAAATTATTTTAAAATATTTAAAAATAGAACTAGATACGAGTACAACACAGACACACATATTGAAAATGGACTTCCCATCGTCGTTTGATACGATTTTTAAATTTCTTAGACTAAGGAATCAGCTCTCACTTCCTATCTCTTTTTTATGGATCATCTTCTGAGCTTATTGTTTTTTCCTCCGCTTCACACAGCGATCCTTTGAATTTAAGAAAAATTTTTTAGATTTTTCCTCAAAAACATTCACATTATCTTCGCCATATTTCTTCTGGAATGCCTCTAAGAATGATATCAAACAAAAAAGTAAATACACTATTGCTATTATTCTAATATTTACTTTTGATTGCAGCAGTTGCTAACAAATTTTGAACTAACGTCTTATTAGTTGTGTTTATCCAAGCGAAGTGCTGGGCTGCTTCATCTGTTATTAATGTTTTCCAACAGTTAAAAATAAAAGATTTTGCCTTAACCGTATAGGTGCATTTTTGTAAAAAGCAATTTACCTTAAATTAATAATAGAAAAAATAGAAATTATTAACGCAATACTATGGAAAATATTCAATTTTTAATTAAGGTCGTGTGCGAGTTAGGCTAAGTTGATGCTAAACCAAATGGGAGATTTTTTGGGATTTTTTGCACTGCACACATTTTGCCATTTATCAACACGATCGCCACATCAATACATTATCGACACAACTTAGAATTTCCCTCATTTAGAACGCAACTTAGCCTAACTCGCACACGACCTAAGTAAATTATTGCTTGTCTGTCTCGGATACAGACAAATAACCATCAACAGTGGTGGTCTTTGGCGACATCACTTAACAAATGTAATGTATATTTTTAATGATAATTAATTAATACCAGCAAATCAAATTTTTCTTCTAATTTAAGTTCATTATTGAACTGGATGAAAGCTTCAGGTGTTTCGAATGGTTTCTCAGGATAGATAATGTCGTTGATATTGCCATGACTATTAATATTTAATGGATCCTTATTTTCCAGACGCCATTCCTTCTTTAATGCAATCACTTCTTCCGTGAGTGCTGTAACCATAACAATCAAGTTATCTATTTTTTTATGCAGTTCCGACATACTGCCAGGCTGTTTCGATTCTTCAACTTCTGAAGTAAAATTTCAGTCAGAGGTAGATCTTTGTATGAACTGAAACAATTTACCTTTGGGTTCATCCTTACTTACTGTAGATGTATCAGTATGAACTCGTTTACGTGCTCTCATACTGTTTTTATTTTTAATTTAAATATAATTTAATAATTTTTTTTCACTCTTTCCTCATTGTTATACTACAGAATTTAACAATTTTACAGCCATATGTTGGCAATAACTAACGATACAAACAAATATGGTTACCAACCATTTCATTTTATATTGATGTTAAATAAGCTTAACGTTTTTTATATTAGTATATACTA